ACACTTTGTTTTTATTCTTATAAGATTTCTTTGTTGGTATCTACTACTACTACACCGCTGTATGCCCTTTACAGTTTGGGAATGATGTGATGAGAAGTCTGTTTGGCTCTGTGACACTCTACGGTCAAACATCCATGACTCCGCCGGGCCTCGAACCTGAAACCCTGAGCGTTGAGTTGTCTCTCAGCTATCAGGTCCCATAAAATAATACATCCCATTTAGTCATTGTTTCTACCATACTATTGAATTTTCTTCAAACTATCCCAATAAAAAATAGTTTATTATGCAATAAAAGCGGAATTCTTCATCTAATAATACTTAGATGAGACTGAAAGTTTTATTGTTGAAACACGACATTCAGTTCGAAACTGGAGACATCAGAGCAGACATTCGTGAGACATAAGACAACAAAATAAAATAGCAAACACGACAGCTTTGAAATTCTTCTGTTTGTTAAAACGGGATCAAACATTATCTTGGAAATTCCATGAGAAACTAATAAAATGCGAAGGTTCGACAATGAAACGCTTTTATCTTTGAAAAGAGAAATGGATTTACATAGAATTCTTCTCATAGAAATCGTTTTTTTTTCCATGTTCTGAAAACAGGAGTAAATTCCGTTTATTTCGAGAAAATAAATCAAGATTTAAATTCTATGTTTTCTTATTCTCTCTCTCGCTGCTTTTGAAAGCGTCGACCCATTTTAAAACTATTCTGGAGTATTTTTCAAACGTTTCAGTTCACTATAAATGTCACAACTTTAAATTCTGAATTAGCATAGTGTGCGAATTAAATGTTAAAGGTTATAAGAATATATAATTAAAATATTTCATTTTAGTACATTAATAATATTTACATGAGTCTAGTCTAGTTTGAAATGTCTTGCTATAAGCAGAAATACAGTATATTCTCAAATAGCAATCTCTCTACATTTTAAATATTTTTTTGCTAGGATATTTTGGAAGAAATGCAGTAAGCTTTACATTTAATTATAGATTCTGATTTCATGTAAAATAATTGTATACTTTTATGATTCTTATTTTTATTAATTTAATTAATAGTCGTAGAGAAGAAAAATTTTAATTATTTCTCTCAGTGATAATATATCTGATCCTGATGGCCGAGTGATTAGTGCTCTTGCACTCGGTGCCGCAGGTTTTTCGAGTTTGAGTCCCGGCAACGCCATGGATGTCTTCTAATGTTTAAGTAGATTCCGAACCCTTCAGACATGGTTCTACTAAACATTAACTTACTAAACGGAATCTACTTTAAACATCAGATCCCACTATATGTAGAGCGTAGGGCTGACAATCCTATCCCATAAATAGGAAACATCTCCTATTTCTGCCACTAGGACGGACAGTATGCCAGAGAATTAATTAGATGGCACTAAAAAGACTTAACAATCTTCTAGCCTTGCAATCTTTGGAGCTAAAAAATACCTATAAAAAAGGAAATGGGTTTTTATTTATCTGAACCTTATTTATTGGTATCAAGGAATTCAATATGATTTTAATAAAAGAATTACAGAACGATGAAAATTTCTTCTTCAGAGCAACATCCCCATGATGAGCCAAGACCGTCTGCCTTTTAGACCGTTTATTAAGACCGTTACCTTAAGACCGTTTTTATTTACCTGAGCCTTATTTATTGGTATCAAGGAATTCAATATGATTTTAATAAAAGAATTACAGAACGATGAAAAATTTCTTCTTCATTGAGCAACATCCCCATGATGAGCCAAGACTGCCTTTTTTTAGACCGTTTATTAAGACCGTTACCTTAAGACCGTTTTATTTACCTGAGCCTTATTTATTGGTATCAAGAATCCAATATGATTTTTCTAAAAGAATTACAGAACAATGAATAATTTCTTCTTCATTGAGCAAACATCCCCATGATGAGCCAAGACCGTCTGCCTTTTAGACCGTTTATTAAGACCGTTACCTTAAGACCGTTACCTTAAGACCGTTAGCCTTATTTATTGGTATCAAGGAATTCAATATGATTTTAATAAAAAGAATTAGAGAATGATGAATAATTTCTTCTTCATTGAGCAACATCCCCATGATGAGCCAAGACCGTCTGCCTTTTTAGGTTTATTAAGACCGTTACCTAAAGACCGTTTTATTTACCTGAGCCTTATTTATTGGTATCAAGGAATTCAATATGATTTTAATAAAAGAATTAGAGAATGATGAATAATTTCTTCTTCATTGAGCAACATCCCCATGATGAGCCAAGACCGTCTGCCTTTTAGACCGTTTATTAAGACCGTTACCTTAAGACCGTTTTATTTACTCCTGAGCCTTATTTATTGGTATCAAGGAATTCAATATGATTTTACTAAAAGAATTACAGAACGATGAATAATTTCTTCTTCATTGAGCAACATCCCCATGATGAGCCAAGACCGTCTGCCTTTTAGACCGTTTATTAAGATTTTATTTACCTAGCCTTATTTATTGGTATCAAAAAGGAATCCAATATGATTTTTCTAAAAGAATTACAGAACGATGAATAATTTCTTCTTCATTGAGCAACATCCCCATGATGAGCCAATACCGTCTCTTTTTAGACCGTTTATTAAGACCGTTACCTTAAGACCGTTTTATTTACCTGAGCCTTATTTATTGGTATCAAGGAATTCAATATGATTTTACTAAAAGAATTACAGAACGATGAATAATTTCTTTTCATTGAGCAACATCCCCATGATGAGCCAAGACCGTCTGCCTTTTAGACCGTTTATTAAGACCGTTACCTTAAGACCGTTTTATTTACCTGAGCCTTATTTATTGGTATCAAGGAATCCAATATGATTTTTCTAAAAGAATTACAGAACGATGAATAATTTCTTCTTCATTGAGCAACATCCCCATGATGAGCCAAGACCGTCTGCCTTTTAGACCGTTTATTAAGACCGTTACCTTAAGACCGTTTTTTATTTACCTGAGCCTTATTTATTGGTATCAAGGAATTCAATATGATTTTACTAAAAGAATTACAGAACGATGAATAATTTCTTCTTCATTGAGCAACATCCCCATGATGAGCCAAGACCGTCTGCCTTTAGACCGTTTATTAAGACCGTTACCTTTAAGACCGTTTTTTATTTACCTGAGCCTTATTTATTGGTATCAAGGAATCCAATATGATTTTCTAAAGAATTACAGAACGATGAATAATTTCTTCTTCATTGAGCAACATCCCCATGATGAGCCAAGACCGTCTGCCTTTTAGACCGTTTATTAAGACCGTTACCTTAAGACCGTTTTATTTACCTGAGCCTTATTTATTGGTATCAAAATTCAATATGATTTTACTAAAAGAAATAAATGAATAATTTCTTCTTCATTGAGCAAACATCCCCATGATGAGCCAAGACCGTCTGCCTTTTTTTTTTCCGTTTATTAAGACCGTTACCTTAAGACCGTTTTATTTACCTGAGCCTTATTTATTGGTATCAAGGAATCCAATATGATTTTTCTAAAAGAATTACAGAACGATGAATAATTTCTTCTTCTTCATTGAGCAACATCCCCATGATGAGCCAAGACCGTCTGCCTTTAGACCGTTTATTAAGACCGTTACCTTAAGACCTTTTATTTACCTGAGCCTTATTTATTGGTATCAAGGAATCCAATATGATTTTACTAAAAAGAATTACAGAACGATGAATAATTTCTTGAGCAACATCCCCATGATGAGCCAAGACCGTCTGCCTTTAGACCGTTTATTAAGACCCTTAAGACCGTTTTATTTTACCTGGCGCGTGCAATCTATGATTTTTTTCTAAAAGAATTACAGAACGATGAATAATTTCTTCTTCATTGAGCAACATCCCCATGATGAGCCAAGACCGTCTGCCTTTTTAGACCGTTTATTAAGACCGTTACCTTAAGACCGTTTTATTTACCTGAGCCTTATTTATTGGTATCAAGGAATTCAATATGATTTTACTAAAAGAATTACAGAACGATGAATAATTTCTTCTTCATTGAGCAACATCCCCATGATGAGCCAAGACCGTCTGCCTACTGGCAGATTTCGAGACAGGAGAAGCTTTCTTTTACGGAGTACACATACCACCTTACAGTCATATTAGGCCAGGACCTGTGGTTTAAAGTGGATTCCAAACCAGTACAGGCATCCATCAGGAGCTCGAACGCGTAACCTATGGCACCTAGCACCTGTGCGCTGGTTGAAATAAATGGCTGAACCAGCCATCAGGCCTCCGTTACATAAATAAAATTTCTTTGTAGATCAAAAAATGGTTGAAATAAATGGCTGAAAACCATGGATATTTCTCCTACTTCTGATATTTATTTCTCATAATAATATAATATTTATAAATAATAAATAATTTGAAATTTGATGTTTCTCATCTCTATTTCTATTGCAAGCGTACATAAAAATTCTGTTCAAATCTTCATAAATAAGAAAAGCATCCAAAATATAGACATAAATAAGTACCTCAGTTGAAGTTTAATTCAAAATATTTTTGTCTTACTTTTATCAATTCCTTAGATTTAGTCAAGGGTGATATAACTCATACTCTGTTTGTTATCTCATACGTTAGTAGTAATTCTGACGTTAGAAAAAAACTGTGAACTGTGAAGATGATTTTACTACTAATCATTGTTGATAAAATATCAAATTAGTTTTTAGCAAAAATCAACCTTAATCCTTAACCTTAAAAAAAGAAAAAACAATTTCGCAATAAATCAATTTCTTTTTTTAAAGAAAATTGTTGCTAATTGATTATAAATTTTAATGTAAATTTAATTAATATAACTAGTATTATATTGACCCTGTTAATATTAGTATATCAGTAACACTAAGTTGTCATACTATAAGATCAGTTAAAGAGGAAATCTAAGAACATAAGAAGTAAATCCAATAGTAGCGATGTGTTTTACTATTTTATCACATTTAAAAGTGTTTCACTATATTTTGCTATATTTGTACATATATATATTTTTTATTTTTTAAAATTTATACCATACTAAGTATATCTGTTCTCGTTCGATCACCGAAGTCAAGCATCATCGGGCGCGATCAGTATTTGGGAGGGTGACCACCTGGGAACACTGCATGCCGTTGGCATCCAAAATTTTGTCCATTTTGACATCCAAAATTAATATAAGAAAGACTTTAATTTAATACTCATCAGAGAAAAATTGGAAACAGTGAACTGATTAAAATTTGATAAAATATTGCTCTTATAAAAATAAGATAAAATATTTTTTTGTTCTAATGCAGCTGGTAAGAACTTTAGACAATTATCTTGGATGCCTGAAGGCAAGCGCTGCAAAAGACCTTACTCACTTAGCACTAACCAGGAGGTGCGTACAGCTTGAAGATAAGCTACGCACGCGGACTAACAATACCTCCACAACACTCTACAATCATGTTATACCAGGACCTACGGTTTTAAAGTAGATTCCCAACCACTACAACATCCACGGCACCGCCGGGACTCAAGCCGAAACCTGTGGCACTTTGCTATTCATTTAAAATATAAATGATAGTGCAGTCTTTTTTACCTTGTACTACCTTGTTTGAACATACCAACTACCTAAGATTAGAGAATTGTTTTTTTACAATAAGATTAAATCTTGATAAAGACATTAATTTTTACATTAAGATTAAATCTTTTATAAGATTAAATCTGCTCTAACACTATTTGTACCTGAATATATGAGAAGTTAAACTGCTACCTAAACTTATTAAAACTTTAATTAGGAATGCCCATTAAATAAAAATCGGAATCAGCAAAATTGATTTAAATTGGCAAAATATTGCACTCGACTATTGCCAAGAATAGAAAAAACACGCAAATAAATAACGGTTGCTTCGTAAGAAAAGAAAATAGAAAAACCCTTACTTTTGTTTCTTTTCCTTCCCAGTTAAGCAAACAAGCGAACCCAAAGTCATCTCTCCAGTGTCGTCTTCATAATCCCCAAAAAGTGCCTCTCTCACTTTAGTTTTGAAACCTGAATCCTGTCTCTCATGCTAATTGAACGACATTCGAGACGTCTCTTTATTTAGTAATTTTTTGAAATCGGATCCCTCAAGGTTAGGAAGAAAAATAAATGGAAAAAATAAAACAGAGCAAAACGAGTTTGAGAGGACGCACCACACATGTTTTTAAAGTTTTTACTTTCGATTTTATAAAAGCTTTAAAATATTCAATATGGTATTCTTTTTTATAAAGCTTTCTTTGGTGCAATAATCCCAGCTGGCAGATTCAAAAAGTAAGATTTTTTTTTACGAGTTAGGGCTGTCAGCCCTACGCCCAATGCTCTACAGTCTTATTAGACCAGGGGCCTGATGCCCGAGTGGCTAACACTCTGACGTTCGATACCACGGAGGGGGTTTCGAATCCTGACGGTGACATGGATTCCTGTAGTGGTTCGGTTACCATTTTAAGCCTTAGGTCCCGGTCTCGTGTGACCGTAGAGTGTCACAGAACTCAATCAGACTTCTCACCCACATCATCTCCAAACTGTATAGGGCCAACTCAGCTCTAGGCACAGTGATGTGGTTTGGTGTGGTGTAATAGTAGTAGTTATATTAGACCGGAACCTACGCTTTTAAAGCGGATTCCAAAAACCCCTACAAACATCCATGTCTCCCCGAAACTCGAACCCAAAACCTGTAGAATAGAGCAACAGAGCTTTCATGAAACCTGCTGCCGAAAAATTATAATTCCAGCATTGAAAAGAAAAATAACTATTGTGAATAGAAAACACTGTTCTGTCTGAATCTCGGTCTCAGTTTTCTGTACATCAAAATGTATGAGACCTTTTAAGCATTGATTAATGCATCGATTTAGAAAAGTTCATTTCAAAATAAAAACACTAAGACAGATCAAAAGTTTCAATGTATAGGTCTAGGGTAAGATAAATCTATGAGCCAGAAACTCCCTCCATCGGGTTCGATTATAAAGACGGATATCACATATTTCCACATAGGATGTTGAGGATGCTTTATTCAATTGCAACGGATCTGAAAAATGATCTATTTTAAATTCACCATAGTCTTAGGGTGTTCAAAGATCGATGCGATGAAGATTATCAACTCAGAAGAATTGGATATAACACTGAAATATATTGCACATATCTATTAGAATCAACGACAAATATAATGCACAATAGTTCCTCTTTTTAAAAATAATCCTGTATGTCTTCTATCCTATGTCTCCTATCTAACTCCTATGTCCCATGCTCGAAACCTGAAAGCGCATCTCTCCCTAAGACATAAGACCGAAATATGTTCTCTCTCATTCTAATTGAATGACCAGCAAAAAGCGTCTTACTCCCTCGTGATGGGATTAGGGAGGAAAAAGGAAGAACAAAGCAATCCAAAAGATCTGATGCCATCTCCCAGGACTTATTTGGAAATGGGCTTACGAGGAATATCTTCCTGCTTCCAATAAAGATAAGGGAGTTGAATATAGCGACAAATAAATTGTCAAAGGAGTTGAATATAGTAGCAAATAATTGTTAAGTATCTTAATTATTTAAACTAAAAAAAAACATTGAGTAAAAGTGTTTCTTTTTTAATAAGTAAGGAGAAAGTACCTTTCACTTATTAAGAATGTTAAATTGCCAATCGCAATATTCATGAATCAAAACACTTTCATCATTTCCCATCAGACTTGTGAGTGCAAGCAGATAATGAAGAGTGAACTAAGCAGAGTTGACAACAAATAGTGTCAAAAATAGCAAAAAAAGTGAAAGAAATTAAGAGTGGTTGAGGGAGTAAAAAGAGTAGTCCAAGAGTAGCAAAGACTGGTTGAAGAGTAAATAAAAAGTAGACAAAGAGTGGACGAGGATGGAAGTGGATAAATAATAACAAAGTATGCACAGCAAAGATTAACAAAGAGTTGGCAACAATAATGACAAAAATAGCAAAAAAGAATTAACGAAGTAAAAAGTTGTTGAGAAATAACAAGTAGTCGAGGTGTAACAAACAGTGGTCCAAGAGTAACAAAAGAGTAGTTGAAAAAATAATGGAGAATTGTCCAAGAATAACAAAGTTTGGTTGAAGAGTAACTGAAAGTGGATGACGAATAACAAAGTGTGGACAACAAATAATAAAGAGAGTGTACAAAGATAACTAAAAATAGGCTATGAGTAAAAAAAAGAGGGTTGAAGAGTGGATAAAGAACTAAGTGTGCATGATAATAAAGTTTGGACTGTTTAATTTTTTATAACAGTTTGAACCCTCATTCTTAATGACCTGTTCAGATTGATGAGGGGTTTTTGCCAATATCATAATTATAAAATTAGGAATAACAATACCACATCTCTAGAGTTGAGATGCCGCCCCATGCTGGGATTCTCAAATATGAATGATTTCTATATAGGCGTGTCGCCACAATATTGAAGGAACATTCCAAAGGTGGAATCTGGAGTGTTCGCATCTTCTGCATATGAAAATATTAATACACCACACCACATCAATGTACTCTTCATAACTTTGATAACAATGTTTGTGAAGTTGTACCCCTTCAATTTTGAACAAACACTTGAACTGAACACTCTGAAGCTGTTTTCAAAGCCTGTCAACTTTGCCAAATATTAAGTTAACGCATTAAACGGCATGACTGAAACAAGTTGTGAACTATATTAGTCGAATTGAAAATATCACGATACCGATACCAATACCGATGTTTGTCCATGGAAGTAGTGGTTTCGTTTCGATGTGGTTCGGCGATTAATGTACTCTTGCATGAGAGAGTAAATTGAAAAAAACATTCTGAAGAATTGTATAAAACTATAAAATGCAACAATAAACATATTTTTGTTGCAAGGAGAATTTTGCCTCTATTTCTGTTCTATCTTCTTTCACTTAAAACAGGTTTGTGTACCTACTGCTTTCGAAAAAACAAAAGCCTAAAAGCCCACTCTAGTGCCATTTTTATGTCTCTGCAAAGTAAAGTGCCTCTCCCATGATGGCCTGAAACCGAAATCCTCTTTTCGCTCTAATTGAATGTCCTGCAAGATGCGTTTTGTTCCTCACTGATGGGATTGAGGAGAGGATGAAGACGAAAAAGAGGAGACAAAACAAGTCCGGCAGATCCAGTACCACCTTTTCCGGAAAAAATTTGAAATAGGCTTTGGATGGAGCCCATCCATCCGGCCGAGAAAAGGGATGACAAAGGCAACCGCCATTGGCGGGATTCGCAGGTCACGTGGTATCGATCTTTTAATCCAGTATTTCTTCTTCCCCTTTTTTTCTAAACCTGGAGATCCATGGTAGAAATAAAAAAAACTATAGAAAAAGGGGTTGTGGACATTCCTTGGGTACACACCACAGGTTGGCAACTTGAAAGCAACGTGAACAGGAAGTAAAAAGCATTCTTATTGGTTCTCTTGGGGCATGGATGGAAGGCACTATTTCCAGGAAAATAGCATTTGGGAAAGAAGAAAGGAATGATTTCTTCTGCATCTGTAGCACGAAGATAGAGAAGAAGAGAAAGAGAGTTGAGTTGTTTATTTGCGATGCATTAGTGATTATCGTTTTTCTTGTAAGCAAGTAAATAAATGAGGAAATTTAACACGAATAGGAGCTATATAAGAGATTTATATATGCTTAGTAATATATAAATTTTGTATGCAATGGAAAAAATGAATAATTTTTACTCGAAGATGTTTTAATTTAAATGGTAAGGTGCTCTTTTCACCACTAGCTCAACGCCCTGATGGGCCAAAAGCCATTGATTACAGGCGCCTTTTTTGAGACAGGAGCAGTTTTCTTTTTACGGGGTAGGGTTGTCAGCCCTATACCCAACTCTACAGTCCTAATATACCGGGACCTATGGTTTAAAGTGATTCCGGAACCACTACAAACATCCATGGCATGCCCGAGACTCGAATCCACAACCTATGGCATCAAGTGTAATTGAGCTAGTCATTCGGCTACTTATGAGACCCCTAGAGTGCTCTTCTATTACAAAAATGAATTTATCAATTGCAAATATATATTTCATAGTTCAGTGACTGTGGGCTGGCACAAATGAGGACGAAGTTTATATTCTTGTTGGTGGAACAATGGGATGTTTTGAAGAAAAGGATAGATTCTGTGGTGACTA